CCCTCCCTTTTATTACGAAATCTGGAGTATCTTCTCAGTATTTATAATTTTTCGTCCAAGATCCCCCTGCAGGGGGACAGGCCCGACCTGACTGTAGCCGTTGGCCCTCCAGGGAAGACGGCGGCAGCCCCTCGCACCGCTTCTGCCGGCGCCCGGGCGGCGCCTGGTGGCCCCGCGACGCTCTGCCTGCCGAGTCTCGCAGGCCCTCCCGGCAGCTCGTGGCGACAGCATCGCAGAGCGGATTTCGCTCAGGCAAACAAAGGAGGGAAAGAAACACACAGACACAATGAATCGTCGACCCCGAAGAAAATACGGGAAGATATGGGAAGTGGCGGGGAAGACAAAAACCTCGAAAATATGGGAAAATATGGGGGATCCTTTTATTTGTGTGTATTTATTTGTGTGTCCCAGGGCCCCTTCAAAAACAATGGGATCCTGATAATTTTCTTAAGGTGGAGGGCGCAGGCTGAAATCCACATGGGCTCATGCACCTCGAAAATCAATCCGCTTTGCGATTCGCCTTTTGAAGATTCAAGCCTCGACAACCCATCGAAACGGCATTTCAGATTTCACCCTTTGCCCTCCACCCAAAGAAAATGCCCAGTCATCGCAGAGCGGATCGCGTTCGGAAAACAATGGGATGGGCCCAGATTGCCCTGGAGAGCTCCGATCCGGATTTCGAAGCTACGTTCGCGCGGATCTTCCGGCCAGGCATGAGGACCACAAGACGTCCACGTGAAGCTCGCTTCGTCGTTCGCTCGCCGTTCTGGGGGGCGATGCACCGACAGAGGTCCACGCAGACATCCGCTGCAGCACGCCTGCAGGGCTGGGTGCTGCGAGGCATCTCTGCTGGCTTGCCTCCTCGCTGCGCGTGCCCGCTCCTGCCATTGTTCGGGAGCGGCAAGGAGTAGGGGAGCGAAAAGTGGCATAAACATAAAAACTGGGAGCTCCGCGCGGATTTCTCGGATCGGCGCTGGGGCCCCCCGGCGGCGCCTCCGGCGCGCGCGGACCTCCGAATTTTTATGTTCATGTCACTGTTTGTTCCCCTAAAGAGGGGGGTGATGACTAGGGGGGGGTGGATATCATGGCGGGGGCCATGATATTTCCCCAGATGTCATGGCGCCTCTTCTCATTTCATTGCGTCCCTGGCCCACCCGCTGGGCCTCGCACATGCCGCCGGTCATGATCTGCACCTCCCCCCTCTTGGGCGCCCCCCTCATTGGCCGCTCCCGAATGGTTGCAGTCCTCGTCGCCTCGCTCCGCTGCCTCCGCCTCCTCTGCTCTGCTCCGCGCCTCCCCCCGCCCGCGGGTGTGAGCGCGGCTTCGTCCCGAGGCCATCGCTCGGGCGTGGCCTACTCCTGCTGATCTCACCCTCTCCCTCCTCCTCCTCCTCCTCCTCCTCCTCCTCCTCCTCCTCCTCCTCCTCCTCCTCCTCCTCCAGCGCCAGCTGGCACGAGCGCGGTGCTCGGGGCCAGCCAGCGCCACGGGCGCCGCCGGGCGCCGCCGCCCCTTCCCCTCTCCCCCCGCCGTCCCGGCACCCTCTCAGGCGGCATGGAGGCGGCCGCCGCGCCCCGCAAGCGCCGGCCGAACCGGCCCGCCGCCGCGCGCAGGGCCCAGCAGCGCCGCGCTGAAGGGCGCGCCGCCGAGCGGCTGCTGGCGGCCTTCGCGGCGCTCAGCAGCCACCGCGGCTCGGCGCCCACCCGCCTTGGCGCCGCCCTGGCCGAGGCGCTGCGGCCCGCGGGAACGCGCGCAGAGCGCCACGCCGCAGAGGCTGACGAGGAGGACCCGCCCCTGACCGCGGAGGCCTACCTCGACCGGCTGCGGCGGCGGCGGCGCGCGGAGGCCGAGCGCTACGAGACGGACCAGCGGCACCAGCAGCAGCGGGCAGAGGCCGCGGGCCGCGAAGCCTTCTACGAGAAGGTGGAGGACCAGCTGCAGGCGAGCCGGAGGGCGCAGGCCACGGCCGACGCGGGGCGCTTCTCGCGGCTACGCGCGCGCCTGGACCAGCAGGAGCGGCAGGCCGCGGCGGAGGCCCTGACGGCGCAGGCCGCGCCGCAGCAGACGCCGCCAGACGCGCAGCACGCCGGGGCCACGGCGCTGGACGACGGGCGGCCCGCTGCAGGCTCAGCCAGCGGGGGCGCGCCCAAGGGCGCCGACCCGCCGACGGCGGCGGAGCGCTCCACCCAGGCGAGGCGCCCGGCAGAGGCCGCGCGCGGCGCGAGCAGCGCGGCGGGGGCTGGGCTCAAGCCCGAGGCGCAGGCTGGGCAGCAGGCCGCGGCTGCCGCGGCGCTGACGGCCGCCCGCGCCGCTGGGCCTGGGCCGCACCTGGGCCAGCTCGGACGCGAGGGCGAGCCCGAGCAGCTGGCGGAGGCAGCGCGGGGCGCTCAGGCCGAAGCCGCGCGCCCGCCAGAGACGGAGCGGACAGCTGACCCGCCGACGGCGACGGAGCGCCGCGCCCAGGCTAGGCGCCTGGCGCAGGCCGAGAGGCTCCGCCCGAAGCCCAGGCCGCCGCCGCCTCCCGCTCGGCAGCGACGCGAGGAGCTGGCTGCGGAGCGGCGCTGGGCGGACCTGGCGGGCCTCGCGCTGCAGGCGAAGGAGCCCAGCGCACGGCTGCGACGGCTCCGAGCGGCCGAGGGCGAGGCGGCCCCCGCGCGCGGCGGGCCGAGGGCCGAGCGAACAGCCGCCGCGGCCGCGCCACGCGGGAGCTGCTGGCCGCCGAAGGACCAGCTGGCGCAGCTGGCGAGGGAGGCCGAGCGCGACGCGACGGAGACCGCGGCGCGGACGGCGCAGGCCGCGCTGCTGCGGGCGGCGGCCGCGCGCCAGGGGGCAGCTGAGGCCGCGAGGGAGGCCGAGCGCGACACGAAGGCGGGGCAGCTGGACGAGGGGGCGGACAAGAAGATGCTCTGAGTTTCGGCCTGTGGCCGTATAATGCTTAGAGCTGTGCCCGGCCTGTGGACCCCTAGCCCGCGGGGCTGCGCGGTGTGCGAAGATAGCTGCGCTTCCCCGGGGGTTGGCGTTCCTGGCCCGCGCCGCCTGCGCGCAGTGCAAGCACTGTTGTGGGCGGCCGACCTGCGCACGCGCGCCCACAGCGCGCTCGCGCAGGCGAGCCACGAAGTGGCGGCCTGAAAGAGCTCGGAAAGAGCTCCTCCTCCTCCTCCTCCTCCTCCTCCCCTCCCCCCCTCCCCCTCCTCCCCCTCCTCCTCCCCCTCCTCCCCCCCTCCTCCTCCTCCTCCTGCTCCTCCTCCTCCTCCTCCTCCTCCTCCTGGCGCTCGTCATGACGACGGTACCCAGACGCCGCGCGCAGCTCGGTGGGTCTCGAGCCAGCAGGTGCGGCACGAGCCTCGGCACAAGGACCGCGCTGTGTCAGAAAAAGAGGAGCTCGGGGGTTCGGATGCTGTTCCCCTCCTGTGCTCCTCGGGCGCTCCTCGCGGTCATGGGTGCCCAGACGGGGCTCAGCGCCGCCCATCAGTGATCGTGAGCGTGTCCCGCTTCGCCCACGGTGTCCCCAATTGCAGCGCATGGCTTGTGACATGCTGAACCCAGTGCATTGCCCCCTCCGCACATCGGGCCGGACGAAAGGGGGGGATTGGGAAAGGGGGGGTTACGAAATTTGCTGCATACAGCTGGTTTCGGCCTCACCGAGGGGCCCATTCCTCGATACATAGCCGCCTCCGGCGCCGGGATGCGCCGGGAAAATCAGCTACGTGAGCTGATTCTCAACCCCCCCCTTTGCTATCCCCCCCTTTCGCCCGACCCGAGCACACCATCATGCCCACGCCGCCTGACGTGTCCAGCAAGCGGCATCCTCACAATCGGTCCGTGGCCCTGGGGTCGGCGCAGCGCTGTGCCACGTAGATTGCACCACATAGGTTGCACACCATGCATGGGTAGAGACACACTGTTTTGGCTCCACGCTGGCTGATAGGTGTATGTCCATATGTGTACAGATCTATGTCCACGCACGATACACTAGTTGTTCAGATCCCCCTCCCTTTCTTCCACCTGTGCCTCCCCTTTTCACTCTTCTTTCTCCTCCCATTCCGCCGCTTCCTTTTCGTCCCCACCCCCCCCTCCCCCCTCCCGCCGCTGTTGAGTGGACTGCGTTCCTCCATCTCGGTTCGCTCTTCTGTTTCACGGCGCCTATCTTTGCTATTACAGGATCTACGTTTTCCTTCTCGTCCTTTGACTACCCTCCTCGACCCACTCTGCCTACCCCTCGTCCTTCTCAGCCCCATCAACGCTCTCGTCATGTAGTTCCTGATCGCTCGCATCCTGTACCGTTTCTGTGCAAGCCCAGCTCTGTGATCCCTGTACTCTTGATCCTTCTCGAGCTCGTCCTCAGTGTCCGGCTTTTCTCCTGTTCGCCTTCTTTCCGCTCCCCCCATGTGCTTGTTACTTCTTTTCTATTTTGTCGTCCATCTCTTCCTCCTCCTTGTCGCGCCCGCCTGTGCCGTCCGCCAGCACATTCTGACCCAGATGCACCTGGAGAGGCGACGATGCACCTCTCGCCCGCGCCCTCTCTCCGGCTGGCTGCGCAATAAAGTCCCTTCCTTCCTGGTAGGACCTGACCCACCAGAGCACAGCGCTCACAGACGTGCGCACGAGTAGACCACCTGGCCAGCGAACCACAGGCCACAATCTATGCCCAGGATTCCGCTAGGCGGCCAGGCGCGTCTCGTGCATCTGGAAGCGGCCCTCGCATGCAAGCGCCACCACTGCTTGCGACATTCCACTTGTCACAAGACGCGTGCTGTATCGTTAGGGCGCGTGCGTGCGCTCTCTGTTGCGTGGGTCGGACCTTCGGCCTGCCGCGAGCGATTTCAAGCCAGAGTCGATCTGACGCCCCACGATGGCGGTTTCTGACAAGACGCTCCGGCTTCAGAGGCTCGTGGAGGGGCACGTCGCAGGGGAAGAAGAGGGCTGATGGGGTGGCACAGAGGGGAGGGGGGGGGATTGGGAAGAGGACTGGCGCAGGAGAGGGGGAAGAGATGGGAGGGAGGAGGGGCGACGTGCGGAAGGGGAGGAGGTGAGGGGAATGGCAAGGGGTGGGGAAGGGCGTGAGGACGGGGGAGATGGCGAAGGGGTGGAGAGGTCTGTGCAGCAGCAGGGACGAGATTTTTCTTTCAGCAGGGAGACTGCAGTCGCTGCCTGGCCGCCCACGACTTGTGGGGGGTCTGGCGGAGGCCACACGCACGGACCGAAGGAGCGCACCGCGGGGCCAAGGATTCTGGCTCTCTCGTCAATGGATGCTGTTTTCCCCCAGGCTTCCTGGGCCAGAGAAGATGCACCGCGGAGCCAAAAACCGTTCGGCCTTGTCTTCTCGTGTCTGGGCCCGCGCCTTGATGCCAGCAGCTGTCTGCCTGTCTTTCCTGTACTCGTTCTCCCCTTCCTCGTCCTTCTGGGTGTCCACTCGCTCGATTGTGGGGCGGAGCCTACACCACGCAGCGCGCTCTTGTGGGGCGCAGCTTGCCCCACGCAGTGCGCTCTCATGGGACGGAGCTCGCCCCCACACGGCGCAGCAGCACACCCTCAAATGCAGCTTGCCTCCGCCACCCGCGTACGTGTTGCAGCACCGCTTGTGCGCACCAGCCTGCATAGCTGATGGGGACAGGATCACACACCTCCTCGATCCAGCGACGGGCTTAGCCTATTTAGTGTGCAGATATCTTTCGGCATGCATCCCCACTCCGTCGAGTAGAACCAGCAGGCCTCTTTCCGATCGCCACCCGTGTTCCGTTGCGCGCATTCGTTCGTCGTGGCGTTGTTGTTGCTGCTGCGCATGATATATAGACAACCCGCTTATTAAGGACGGGCAACCTTCCCAAGGGTAATACACTTATATCCTTGCCTCCTCGGTCCATCCTTCGCCACTTTCGTTGGTCGCGCCCCGCTCGAACATCTTCAAAATGGGTGTCCAAGGCCCTTGCATCCTTATCGCGCATCCTTATGATACGGGCCGACTGTATGCATCTGCGAATGGGGCCACGCATGCACGCCCCTTCTCAGCTCCCCAGAGCGTCCAATGATGGCTCTTCGTCTACGCCGTTCTCCTTTCCTTCCTCGTGCCTCCCTCCTCATATCACGACAGGTGCTCACTCAAGCCTGCATGACCCCTGCTTTGATCTATTCACCCCCGTCTTGTCGACCGGTCGCGCCTCCAAGCTGTGGTATAGCACAGGCTGGCATTATCAGCTATGCTTGTCGACCCGCGCCTTATCGCAACTCTCTCGCCTGATGCATGTGTGTCTCGAACGCCCTGCTGGAATACGCCTCAGACGCACGCATGCACATGTTCGGACACTGCGATCAGGGCACACGTTTCCGCACCTGGCCTCCCCCTTTCTCCTGTTCCTGCTCCTCCTCCTCCCCCTGCTCCTCGGCCCCGCGGTGAGCGTGGGGGCGCGCTCGACGAAGCCGCGGCCGACGCCTCACCACTCCGGGGCATGCGCTGGCCGGCGCTGTTGGGGAGAGGCGCGCGGATGCCAGCTAGCGCCCGGGGCCCCAGAGGAGTCTCCTGAGCCCTCGTGTGCCCCGCTTATCACCGAGGATACCAGAATCCTTACTCGAGATTCCCTAATGATCGTCCCCCGGGTCCGCCGGGTTTTCGAAGGCGTCTTTTTTTGGAAGCGGGGGGGTCCAGTTGATTGGAGCGATTTTTTTTAAACCGAAGACGTGGGGCCCCCCGTTGACAGGAGGGTCCGGAAAAATAGGTTGCCATTGAAGGGGGGGTCCAGTTTTTTTAGGGGGGGTCTATTCTTATGGGATTTCGAATGCTCTATCTTATGCAGGGAAAACCAGGGATGCTTCTCTAAGCGGGGTTTTCAGGAGGGGTTGTGCAGATCCCCGCTGGGTTTTCCACGGGTTTCGGGGCAGCCCGTCTAGTCGTCATGCAGCAGCACGGGCTGTCCTGGCTGTCCAGGGGGTTGTCAGGGGATGGTTCCTGATCTTATTGGACGCAGTAGTCCGAATAACACAACGGAGACGTATCCCAACTTTGAGACCCCACTCTTGTATTAGGGATAAAACAAATCTGGGTGGTGTGGTTTGCTACGCCCTTCGGAGCAGAAAACCTCTGGCCCTAGTTCCTGGTGGGGGCCTCTTGGCCCAGGTCCGCTCCCCGAGAGGCACGGGCACTGTTCAATTGCCTGTGAGCTCGGGGCCCTTCGAGCAGCGGCGCCGTCGCCGGTGCGAGCTCCCGCTCTCGCGCCAGCCGTATGCAGCCTCGTGCCGCGCTCCGCCGCGCGCGCGCGGGTGCATCCCAAGAGCGGGCCAGGCCCGGCCTGTTCCACTTCGTGGACAAGGGCTACGGCAGCATGGCGGTGCGCCGCCGCGGCGGAGGGGGGAGGATCGGTGGGAGGAGGCAGGGGATGCGGAGGGGAAGCAGGAGGACGAAGAGGTGGGTGCGGAGACGCCTCGGCATCCTCGCTCTTTGTTTTCCCCGGCCCTCCCTTTGTCGGGGTCCTCGTCTTGAACAGGGCACTGGGGCCTCCGCTCCTCTTCTCCTCCTGCTCTCGCCTCCTCCTGCCTCCGCCCTCCTTCTCACCTCTCCTCTGGCCTCCTTTTGCCCCCCGTGCTCGTATTTTCGCCACTTTCGCCGGCTCCTGGGGGGGCACGGCGGCGGTGCGGGCACCAGGGGTCTCCTTTGGAAGTCCAGCGGAGGGGAGGTCCGCGCGCCTCCAGCCGAGAGACCTCGCGGCTCCGTGGGGGTGCTGCGAACTGCGCATCTGTCGCCACGTCCGTGGGCGCTCCTCCTCCTCCTCCTCCTCCTCCTCATCCTCCTAATCCTCCTCCTCCTCCTCCTCCTCCTCCTCCTCCTCATCCTCCTCCTCCTCCTCCTCCTCCTCCTCCTCCTCCTCCTCCTCCTCCTCCTCCTCCTCTCCTCCCCCCCTTCTCCTCCGCCCCCTCCTGCTCCTCTCCCTCCTCCTCCGCCCTCCTCCTCCTCTTCCTCCTCCGCCCCCTCCTGCTCGCCCTCCTCCTCCTCCTCCCCCTGGGTGGTTGCAAATTGCGCAACCGTCTCCACGTTCGCGGGCTCCTGGGAGTGGGAGGTCCAGTGGAAGGGGGGGGTGTACGCGCACCCAGCCGAGACTCCGCAGCTCCGTGGGCGGCTGCGGACTGCGCAGCCGTCTCCTATTTCGTGGACTCCCTGCATGGTCCAGCGCAGTGGAGGTGTACGCGCACCCAGCCGAGACCTCGCGTCCCCCTGGGTGGCTGCGAACTGCGCGCCCGTCGCCATTATCGTGGGTTCCTGGGAGGTCCAGCGCAGTGGAGGTGCACGCGCACCCAGCCGAGACCTCGCGGCTCCCTGGGCGGCTGCGAACTGCGCATCTGTCGCCACGGTCATGGGCTCCTGCGAGGGGGAGTACGCAGACCCAGTCGAGACCTCGCGGCCCCCTGGGGTGGCTGTGAACTGCGCATCTGTCGCCCTTTTCCGCTGGCTCATGGGAGGCACGGCTGAGTGGGGGAGTGCGCAGACCCGTCCAAGACCTCGCGGCTCACTGGGGGGTTGTCAAGTGCTCAAGTGTGTCCGGTGACGTGCGTGGGCTCTTAGGTCGGCCGAGGCCTCGCCCCCCGTCGCGAGGTGTTCAGGATGTACACATACGTGCATGCATTCGTTTGGGAGGAAGCGGTCCTGATTGTAGTCGCCAAATTCTTGACGCGTCGCGTATCCCCACCAGCTCCGCGGAGTGTGTGAGCGGTTCTGTACCTGCAGTTCACCGACTCTCATCGTGGTCTAGTTGTGGCAGGTCCAGTCTTGGCTACACCTCTACGCCTTCCAGCTGGCTGCGGCTGCAGCGTACCTTGGCAACCCTCACCCGTTACCCGATGGCAGCAGTACTGACGCTTGGGCAGGCGTGTCCTATCATCGTGGTTCAGACTCGTGAGTGGTTTCGGATTCGCTGGCTGGTCGGCCCCACCATGGGCAACGGTGTGGATCGCGGAGTGAGCACTCTGTAGGTTCTTGCCTCTTCTGCCCCTGTCTTTGCCGACATCGATACGGCTGTGGCATCCTGGTGCTACCTGCCCAGGTTAGGTCGGCCGCGCGGATTGGCGCCCACAGGGCGACTCTCAGCTGCCGAATGAAGAGCATTTTGCTTATTGCACGTGCGTTTGCTTTCTTTGCATGTCTTACTGCAGGTGCTTGCCTGTTGTAGTTATGCGAGCTGGCTTGCCGATGCTGGCGGCCGTGTTCGCAAATTCGCACCGCTCCGCCGCCCCGGACGTCGCTCCCGCTCCTTGACCGTCGCCTAGGAGCCGCCAACCAAAAAAGTATCCCCACCAGCGACGCAGCCACCAGCACCACTCCGCCGCCTACGCCCCGTAGGCAAGCTCTGCAGAGTTGGGGTCATCACTCTGCGTTGTCGCCTATGGCTTCCCCCGCCGCCTTAGCTTTGTGCATGAGGTCGCTGGGACCCCCCCCGACCCTGGTCGCCGGGCTGCATATTTTTCCTTCTCCTCGCCTCTCTGAGCGCCCTGTGAGGTTGTCCGCATGCCCCTTCCTCGCGGTGCCCCTGGGCTCTCGGGCTTGCGACCCTCCCGTGGTCGCCACTTACGCCCGCCCTCCTTTTGGCGATCTGGAACTCCTCCGTTCAGCGCCTGCACGCCCGCTCGTCGTTCTCGTTGGTGACGCTTCCACCGTCCCCCCCCCTTGGCATTCCGGTGCCCTCCCGCCGTGCGCCTGCTTTTTTGTCCATCGCCCTCTACGGCCCCCTGGTGGTCTGTGAGTTCGACGTCATCCTGCTCTTCGCAGGTTTGGCGCTGCACGTGGACCTGGTGCTCTTGGGTCGCCCGCATCTGACGCGCTGCGTAGCTCGCTCCTGCGCACTTAGTGGTTAGTTTAGGCCTTTGCTAGCTGGCAAGTCCCTGACGGCGCCTGGCACCCCTGCGCGCTCGCGAACAAAAATCCCCACCAGCCCATCCAGAGACAGATCGCCGGGCGGTCTGCCTTGATCAGGGGAGTGTAGAAGCATGCAGTGCAACAGCCGCCTTAGAAGCGTTTTCTCGTCGGACTCTTGGAGCCTTCTTCGGGCTCTCTTGGGGTCCTCGCGGGGCCTCTTGAGGCACTCTGGAGGCCCTCATGGGTCTGTCTCTCTTGGGGCCTTCTCGGGGCCCTCTTTGGGTTCGTTGGGAGGTGTCTGGAAGGCCTCTTGGGGCCATCGTGGCCCCCATGATTCAAACAGAGAGGGGTAACGGATGCCCCCCCCCCCGCCATCGTGGCCCCCATGATCCAAGAAGAGAAGGGTAATGGATTGCCCCCCCCCCCCCCCCCTTCCCCCCTTTTGGAGACTCAAAAATGATGTTTTGGGGCCGTTCTGGGGCGCTCTGGGAGCGCCATTGGAAGCTCTTGGGGTCTTTTGGGGGCCATCATGGGCTCCTCTTGGGGCCATTTGGGGGCCATGTGGAGGCGTCAAAAGCCAATCGGAAGCGAAATGGCGATAACGCAGAACACGTTGATTCTCATCACGTGTCAGAATTAGTTCGGCTTCCAGGGGAGCTCTTTGGAGGGTTCGAAGAGCACTTGAATCCGTCTTGGGGTCGTCTTGGGGCATATTGGATGTTTGTTGGAGGACTTCTTGACCCATCTTGAGCTATCTGGGGCAATCTTGGATGCCATCTCGTGCCTTCAGAGACCCTTTTGGAGCCATATTGGGCCATTTTGGGCGCTCTAACCCCTCACGGGGCGCCCTTCCACTCTCAGGAGAGGGTGTAGGGGGATGTGTAAACACACGCCGCATTTGAACATCGGGTTGGGTACATTCCCGTGTGGTTTTCTCTCCGTTACTCGTTCTCTCAGTCCCTTTTTGTTTCTCTCTCTCTCTCTTTCTCTGTTTTTTTGTTTGTTTCTCTCTCTCTCTCTCTCTCCCTGTCTGTCTCTCTCTCTCTCTCTTTCTCTCGCCCCCCCGTCTGTCCCTCCATCGTTCTCTCTCCCTCTCTCCCTCTCTCTCTCTCTCTCCTTTTTTGTTTGTTCTCTCTCTCTCTCTCTATATGTGTGTATATATGTATGCATATCCCCCTGTGTTCTCTCCCTGTCTCTCTCTCTCTCTCTCTTTTCTCTCTCTCTCTCTCTCTTTCTCTCTCTCTTCTCTCTCTCTCTCTCTCTCTGTACATATATATATGTATATATATATATATGTATATATATGTATGTATATATATACATATATATATATATATATATATATATATATATATATTCCTACTCGTATATTTTCCTACGGCCGGGGAACTTGGAAAAGGCCCACCACCACCCCGGGTTGGCCGGACGCACTCCCTGGCACCGGGGGGCGGTCTAGCAATCCCTGCCGAGGCGTGCACACAGGCGGGTGGCAGTCGCAAGACGGTCGGCGCAAGGCCCATGGGACGCCCAAGGCGGTCGAAGATGGTTTCACGTTGCCCTTGACCCCCGCCAGACGCCCGATGACGGCTCGAATGTCACCCCCACGAGGCGTTCGACTCTAAAAATAGATGGATGTTGCATTGCTTTTCGATTGATGTTGGGATACTCGCTCACTCGGGCCTCCAAGCGTCCGGGAACGCTGGAGAGCCATTGGGTCCGCTCCGAGACGGCGCGAGCGGGCCTCCAGACACCCCAACACGGTCACATGAGGGCACAAGACGGCCGCCAAATTGCCCGCAGGCGGCCCCATGATTGGCCCAAAACGATTGCAAAGCAACCCGCACAAGGCCCAAGCAACTCCCAAAACGATCGAAGATGGCATCAATCGGCCCAGACCACCGCTGGACGCCCGAAGACGGCCCGAATGTCACCTGAAAGAGGCGCTCGAAACTTGGAACAACATTGATGTTTCATTGTTTTTCGTATGTTTCATTGTTTTTCGTATGATTTTCGGGTTCTCGCTCACCCGGGCCTCCAAGCGTCCGAGATCGCTGGAAAAAACACCAAAACCGCTCCAAGACAAGCCAGACGGGCTTCCCGACAGCCCAAGAGGGCCCCATGAGGACCCAAGACGCCCCCCAAACTGCCCACGGAAGGCCTCACCGCGGCCCGAAATTGTCTTCAAGACAACCTCCCCAAGAATGCAACCCGTGATCTGGAACCACGACTCCGGGCATGGTGGTTCGAGGACCTCCCCACTGGTCGCCGAAAGGCGCCACGGCCGCTTCCAGAGGCTCCCAAGGAGCCCTAACAATGCTTCCGCGAAGCTCTCCAGAGATCCGCCACGAAGGAGCTTCCGCGAACGAATCAGAAGAGGACGAAGAAGCCTTCGTGTGCCAATTCACTTGAGAATGAGGAAGAGAAAACGGACGAAGACAAAAATAAGGAAAGAGACGACGAACAATGTAACCACGGTGATGGCGACATCGGCAACCAGAAACGATTTCTGTCTTGATCGGCTTACCTCTCTCAGTCTGCCTGCACCGTCCACTTATCGGGCCAAGGTGCATGGCGCGAAGCGTCATTGCAGTCTTGTATATGTGTATGTGTGTATATATAGATGTGTGTTCTCTCTCTCTTTCTCGCTCGCTCTGCCTCTCTCTCTCTCTCTCTTGCTCTATCTCTCTGTATGGTCCCTCTCTCTTCTCTCCTCGTGCCGCGCGGGACTTGTGAGGGCAGCGTGCTGGTTGTGGGCGACGGCAAAGGATGGTTGTTGCACCTCGTGCTGTCTTTTATCTGTCTTTTATATGTTGTATACCCTCTGTGTTGTATTCTTGACGTTTCCCTCTTTAGCTCTCTCTATCTCTCTCACTCTCTCCTTCTCTCTCGCGCTCTCTCCATCTCTCTCTCTCTCTCTCCCGCTCTCTCCTTCCCCCTCTCGCATTCTGTATGTGTATATAGGTGCATATATTTGCATATCTAGATGTATCGATGTCATGTTCTCTCTCTCTCTCTCTGTCACTCTCTCCTCGCTCTCTCTCTCGCGTGCTATCTCTTTCTCTCCCTCTTTCTCTCTCTCTCTCTCTCTGTCCCTCTCGCTCTCTTGTTCCCTCTCTCTTTCTCTCTTTCTCGCTGCTCCTATTATGTGTAACGCTCCCCACCTTCTAAGGTCGGTGCGTGTGCTCTCTGGGGCGACCCCCGCAATCCTCCTCCCACCCTCTCCTTCTATTCTCCTCCCATACTTTTCAGCATCATCATCATCATCAACACCAGCACCATCAGCATCGTCATCGCCATTACCATCACCATCATCATCATCATCATCATCATCATCATCATCATTATCATCATCAGCATCGCCACCGTCATCGCTACCAACATCGCCACGACCATATCATCACCATCACCTTCAGCATCGTCACTGCTGCCATCCCATCGTGAGCACTGATCATCAGCATCATCACCAGCATCAGCTTCATTACCATCGCACAGACTCACACACGCTCACGCTCACGCACTTGTCTCGAGGAGGTCTCGAGCGCGAGCCTCGTTCTGTGAGGGAGTCGCGGGGAAGGCTCCAGCGGGAGGGCCCTTCGTTATGGGGCCCGCACATCATGTTACCCATCCGATGGGGCCACTCCGAAACGTGCAACTCTCGCCAACGTTGGGCGTCTAACATTCTAATATACAGGGGCAAATCTTAATCGGGGGCCTCGACTCTTTGAACATCGCGAGGATGCCCTCAAGCGGGGTAACCCCCTCTCTGTGGGCCCGCGCTTCCTGCTAGCACCGTCGAGGCGGTCACCCGCAAGCCCGTACAGGTGTCGACGCAGTGGGGTCCCGGAGGCGTGGATCTCGAGGAAGTCTCGAGCGGGAGCCTCGTGCGTGAGCGGGTCGCGAGGAAGCCTCGAGCGGGAGGCCCCCTCCCCACACGGGGCCCGCGCTCCAGGCTGCTCATACGAGGCGGCCGAAGTGTCGTCGTTGTTGGGTGCCTCGGGCGTGAATTCGGAGGGGGTCTCGAGCGGGGGCATCGCCTGTGAGCGAAGCTCCCGGGAGTCTCGAGCGGGAACCCCCTCCCCTACGATGCACGCAGGGCGGTCATCCTCAACCGTCTGTTTGTCGCCACGTTTGGGCGTCTCAGGCTCGAGCGTGGAGAGGACGTCTCGAACGCTAGGCTCGACTGTGAGTGAGTTGCGAGGAAGCTCCCGAGGATCGAATCGTGAGGAAGACTGGATCGGCGGAAGCCTCGTGAGGATGTCTCGGACGGGAGCCCCTCACTACAGTGTCCCCTCGGATGATGAAGGCAGTTCGTAAAACAATTGTATGTGTCGTCACGCGTCGGATTCCTCAGGGTTACATCTGGAGGAAGTCTGGAGCGCGAGCCTCGTCTGTGAGTGAATCGCGAGGAAGTCTCAGGGGGCAGCCCCATTCTATAGGGCCCAGCAGATCATGTTACCAATCCGAGAGGGTCATTCACGTCATTGTAACTGTCGTCACTATTGGGCCCCAGGGGACTGAGCTTGGAGAAAAGATGCAGGTGGAGACGACAGGAACATGTAGGAGCAGGAAGAGGAGGATGAGGAGGAGGAGGATGAGGAGGAGGAGGAGGGGGAGCGCGGGGAAAGCGGAGGCGTAGGAGTTGGAGAGTGAGCGGGGGTGGAGAGGGAGGAGAGGGGAGAGGGAGGAAGTGCACGAAGAGGATCAGGACCACGACAGCGATCTGTTGGTCGAGGTGATTCAGCGGCGACGTGTTTATGCCAGTTGGCGCGGTGAGTGCGCCAATTCGCGCGCCCCAGGAGGAGAAAGAGAGGGTCAAAGGAGGAGGGCCTCCACAATCACAGGGGCGACGATGAGGAATACGTTCGAGCAGGTAAGAGCGATTGTGCATGCGGGATTACACCGGCGGGGTAATTGAATATGTACACACATACAGATTCTTTCGTTCGCCCTCCTTCCCCCTGCTCTCTGTACACATAATTATTTGTAGATGTGCATTGTACACAGCTATTCACCATCTACGCTCTACTCTGCGCCATCCTCCTCGCAATTCCCAGAGTGCCCCCCCACCCTAAACACTCGACTCTACCCTGTCTACTCTCGCCTCCTCCTACTTTCTGCACCCTGGCGCTTTCCTGCATGCCATCCATGCAGTACTGTATGCTTCTTCCTCAACCCCCCCCCCCCACACTGTTTTTATCATTTTCATCATAAGTGCGTTCAATATTTCTCTCTCTCTCTCTCTATCTCCCTGTCTCCCTCTCTCTCTGTCTCTCATTCTCTCTCTCTCTATCTCTCTCTTTATTCCTTCCTCTCGTTGCCTCTCTCTTTCGTTCTCTCTTTCCCTCTCTCCCTCCCCCTCCCTCTCTCTCACATCTGCCTTCTACAGCGTACTCGCTGTCTCCATAACCATACTTCTATGTTCTGTATGGGCTGTTCTAGACAGGGACTTTGCCGCGAAGACGAGGCACCCGTTCAGAGCATCGCGTGCCATCCCCCCGCTTTCTCGCGAGGCCGACCTTGTCACCCAGATGCGCCAGAACGACGGCTCTGAGAGCCCGTTGTTCGACATGCTGACGGAGGACGAGGGCGAGGCGCGGCCGTTTGGCAGCCAGGGCTTTCTGGCGAAGGCCCTGCGGCCAGCGCCGCCGACCCTGAAGGGGGACAACGACGACGACGATCCTGACGGGGGACGCTTCTTGGGGTCGCCTCGGAAGGCTCGGGGGCCTCTGGGGAGGAATTGTAAGGCTCTTGGGGGCCTCTTGGGGGCCTCTTGCGAGCCTCTCGGAGGCCTCGTCCGACGCAAAAAGTAAAGTGCGTGTGTGTGTGTGTGTGTGTGTGTGTGTGTGTGTGTGTGTGTGTGTGCGTGTGTGTGTGTGTGCGTGTGGTGTGTGTGCGTGCGTGTGCGTGTGCGTGTGCGTGTGTGTGTGTGTGTGCATGTGTGTGCGTGTATGTGTGTGTGTGTGTGTGTGTGTGCGTGTGTGTGTGTGTGTGTGTGTGTGTGTGTGTGTGTGTGTGTGAATTTTGCCTCTTGGGGCCCTCTCGAGGGTGCTCTTGGACCTCCTGGGGCGTCTTGGAGGCCTCCTAACCAGCCTGGAGGGTGCAAATGCGTTTTGGACCGAGTGTGTGTGGCGATTGCGGTATCTTGGGCCGTCTCGGGGGCCTGCCTTTTGGGGCACTCTTGGCCTGGCTTGATACTTTTTGAGGCTCTGGGCCCCCCAGATGGGGATGCGCATCCGACCCCCCCCCCCCCCGAGACCCCCCCCCACCGCCGATGGGGGCTTCCGATCGACTCGATTACGACATTACTGACAGGCTTGAGGAGGAGGGTGCAGGGAGAGGGGACGACGGAGGCGACGACTGACGGAGGCGACGACTCCAACAGACAAGCCCCTCACACACGCCGATGGGGTCGGCGGATTAGACCCAGTAGGATCTGGTCAATGTCCCGCCCCTTCTGCCAACATGTTTTTGGGATGGAGTGCTGGTGTGGCCCCAGCTCCCAAGTAACCAAGGCACGGGGAATGTGCGAGACGATTCTTTTTGTCGTCCACATCGCCATGCTTTGGTTCTGCGTTTCTTTGGTTGTGTTCACGTTTATTCGTTCATGGCCCAAGGTTGCTACACCAAGGCGCCAGGAGATCGGCTATAGGTAAGGTAAAGTTTGGGCACGGACGGTGCACACTTAAATGGGAGATGTACGGATGCACCACGTACGTGTGACTGCGCATTGCTCCTCCTCTTGACCGATGATCGACCTACCTAACCAGTAGGCTGAAAGGTCGACTGTCCGTGAAGTCTGGACATCGGGTATATAGTTATCGGCCCGATGTTGTAAGGTTGTGTGTCAAGCCAGTCAGAAGTGATTAATACATTCAGGGGCATAGGTCACATTGTTTGGGTATGTTGGCAAGGTGGTAATAACGTAACGATTCAGGTCAAACGACGCATCCTGTTCATTTGCTGGGCTGGGGGGTTCGAAGTCGCCTACGGCGAGTCACCGCCGCGTTTGCCTTTCGGACACGCTCATGGTGGCCACGTATTGCATGACCTTTGGCAGATCATGTATCCGCTTGCGTGATAGGGCTTCATGCCGTAGAAGCTACGATTAGTACCAGCGCATTCAGCAGCATGTGTCGACACCTCTTGTCGCAACGACCTTGGGCAACCATGTGCATGGATCCGCATACAAGTTGTTTCGACGCAAGGTCCTGGTGGTCAGTCGTCGTCGATGTGAAAAGATTGGTCGGAATGTGTTCCAAACCCGTGCCTGGATGGGGCCTTCTGAGGCCGTCCTGGAGTTGCCTTCAGGCTTGTGTTTATGGTCCATCTCAGGTCGTCTTGGGTGCCTGAAAGGGCCCTCGTGAGCCATCCTGAGGTTTTTTGGGCCGTCTTAGGGCGCACGGCGTCAGGGGCCGTCTTTGGGGCATCTTTGGGCAGTCCTGGGGTTCTCCAGGGGGCCTTTTCGGGCTGTCTTGGGCCGTCTTGGGATCCTCTTGTGTCGTCTTGGGGCCGTCTTGGGGTCCTCTTTGGGCCCTCGTCGAAGCTCTGGACACTGGAAGGGCTAGATTCCGAAAGTCTGAAAACACATAGAAGCATGTGTTACATTGACTCTGGCCTCCTGGGCCGACACAGAGGGCCCTGGGGCAGCTTAAGAAACCTCCTAGAGAGCCTCTTGGACCGTCTTGGAGCCATGTTTGGCAATCATGGGGCCATATCGGCCGTCTGGGAAGCGTTTTGTAGGTCTTCTGAGCCTGTCGTGGAGGCCAGCCTGGCCCGCCTTGGCCTTCTAGGAGGCGGGCACTGTGCGCTTGGTGGTCGGCGTGGCGCGCAGGCCAAGAGAACAGCCATCGCACACCGAGCACCCCTGTGGGAAGACCACAGAGGGCGGCAGCAAATCATGGGAGCCTAGTCTACCCTCTTACTTCCATCTGCAGCGCCGAGCAGCGTCTGGGAGCGGAAGAGATGGCGCCGATGCAGCGTTGATCTAGTGTCGATTCGCTTCGATTTAGCGTCGATGAGCGTCGATTTAGCGTCGACTGGCGTCGATTCGCAGTAGCCGATGAGATGGTATGGGGGGCTCCCATGTGTTGCCACCGAAACATTGGGCGGCGGATCTGATTGACTGGATCCTATGCCGCCGGTCCCCCTCTTCTGGCAGGTCCGTGGCCTGGCGGCGGTTTTGCTGGAACCCGCCGCCTGCGCTTCTCTGCAGCGCTTGGAGGAGCTGTTTCGGAATACGGCAGGTTCGCGTCGTGTCGACCAGCGGCGACCCCAACACGGGCGTTTGAGGTTGAACGCCGCTTGTGGCCCAGAATCGGCCCATCCCCGCGGTGTCAGGAACCATCGCCGGGGTAGACACGACGCGAACCTGCCGTAGCCTGCCATCTTGGAGCAGAATGTGGAATTATTGGGACCAGTGTTGGAGCCCTCTTGGGCGCAGTTCAGCCGCCCTCCTGGGGCCTCGCCGGCGGCGTTTTAATAAAAGCTGTTCAGGCCGACGAGGCATCGGGAAGCTCTGGCGTGGTTCTGGGGGGAGGCCGTGGGACTTCTTCGAAGTCCAGGGAGGCTCTTGGAGGTTCTGGGAGGTCTTGGAGCCAAGGGCGGGGAGGAGACCGTGGCAGGGGAGTGGACCAAGTAAGGGGATGGGATTTTTGGGGGGAAGGGGACCACAGGGGGAAGGGGACCACGGGGGGAAGGAGGCCAGGCGCATCGAACTTCACACGGGATCGTTGCCCTGGCAGCAGAAGCCCCTCATATGATGGGACGTTGGGGGCGAATCTTGTTGGCATCTGAGAAGTGCGCGCGAGCGCCTCCGTCGTGTGCGCGTTTGTGGTTCAGCGTGCGACGGGGAGCCCAAGCGCAGGACGGCTCCAGTGGGCCCTCAGGGCCCAGGACGGCCCGGCAGGCCTGGGAGAGGTGCCAAGATCCCGCGAAAGTGCCACGAGAGGCTGCAGGAGAGGCCCCAAGAGACGCCAAGACAGAGGCCCCACGTAGCTACATTTAAGCACGGCTAAGATTCTGGGGACGATCCTGACAGCAGCTATCGGGGTCCCTTAACGGGGACGGCGGTGAACGGGGACATTGGCGCGCGCTAGGAAGTTGCAGCCGTGGGTCGAATCCATCCTTCCTTCTTACTGGGTAGAACTTACATCAAAGTCCTGGTTCGCAATGTCCTTGTTTCGGGTGCCTCGCAAGTACGGCGATGGTGACGTAGTGGGAAAAATCCAGAGGGCGGCTAAGGAAGGGAGGTGGACGATGACAGGTAGGGGGACTGAGCACGGGCTCGGCTGGTTGAAATTTACCAGGGCGTCGTGCGCAATGTTCACGAAAATGCCGGACTTTCTTAGTTCGTCGCCGTCCGAACCCTTTAGGGACATCTGTGGCTCTGAGACTTGTTTTCTTACAGGCTAGTTCCTTGAGGCCCATGATCAGTTTAGTCCAAACTTTGTGGTGCACTTTGCCGCTTGACATGTTTTCCCCCAACGTAGTCGAAGAGAGGTTCCGCGTGCATCACAGGCAGGGGGGTGACCTCGTGCGTAATATGTTTGTGTGGAACACACTCGGAACTACAAGGAGCCGATGTGGCGCATGATTGTGTTGGTGTAGCTTGTCAGCGCGCGTTCAACTACAACGTATGATTGTTCATGCGATGCTGTGTTTGATGTTGACGTGGTTCCAGGATGCACAAGCGTAGACACATATACCCATTTGCATGTTTGCACAGGCAGGGGAACTGCGAGCGTAAAGAGTCCCGACGAGAGTTCGAAGGACGGCAGTGCAGGGTGCGTCGCACAGATCCAGGCGGGAAAGTTGTCTCGCGAGCAATTGCGCGTCAGGTGACCACACCGTTGTGAGCACGGGATCTCTGCAGAGACTGAGCACTGAGGCCCGCCCTCAGTACAATAAGCGCCTGCTGAGCTGATAGCACTGATAACTGGGATCTTGCGTCTTTGGTGGAGGCAGTCTCTTTGACGGCCGCATTGACGGGCAGAAGGAACGCAGTGCAGGTTCCATTTCTATCCATTTGTGGCTGACGGTCCCAGCGTGGGTCCCGCGCGTGGCTCCAATTGCAGAAAAGAGAGCTTCATCCGCTGCTTCGGGCACTTGCTCCAGGTCTGCGAAAACCATGCGGTGACGCGCTCCTCCCTGCACCCTCGCCGCTCTCTTCTCCCGCAGGCAGGGTAAGGGCAGGGCTGGGGTGGGAGATTCGGTGAGAAGCGGTTTGAGGCAGCAGATTGTGGGCTTCGCTGGTTGATGGAGGAGGAGGAGGAGGAGGAGGAGGAGGAGGAGGAGGAGGAGGAGGAGGAGGAGGGGGGGGGGGGGGCGAGGCAGAGAAGGAGGAGGGGGGAGGCGAGGCAGAGAAGGAGGAGGAGGAGGAGGAGGGCTTGGAGAGGTGCGGTGTTCTTAAGGGGGGGGGCCGAGGGCGCTGGACGTGCCGCTCGGCCGTGCGCGTGCCCGGTCGTGGTGTCATTAGCCTCTCGGCCAAACTGTGGGGTTGTCCTCGTCCACGCTCGGGCGGGTGTGCTCTGGCAAGAAGCTCACCGCCCACCAGCCCACCCCAGCCCAACCCGAAGGCCCCGATCTGCTCCCCACTCCCAGCGGAGGGGGGGTGCTACCAGCCTCGAGCGTATCCCTATCCCTAAGATTGACACGCCAAAAGGCGATGACAATCTTAGGGATTCGCCTTCAAAAAATAAGGAAATCCCTAAGATTGGCATCGTGATGAGGAGGTGCCCAGCTTAGGGATAGGGATATGTTCCAGGCTGGTAAGGGTGGGTCGGGGAACACTGGACAACAACAACGTGAAGCCCATACCCCCCCGAAACTCGACCTCCGGGTCTTCGGGGCGGGTTGGGATGTTCTGGTAGGTTAGTCACAAAGCTTGGATGTGTGACAAGTTCTTTCTCAGCGTGCGGGCTCAGGGGGGGTTATTGTCTGAACAAGACTGCTCCTTAGGAACTTGTGCTGCGAAACGGCCCCACCCCTGCGCTGCTGAAAGCTGCTTCTTGCTTCTGGCACACATAAGCTCAGCGCCTGACAGCAAACTGGGGGATGGGAGTCTGCACGACGACCTCACAGGAAACGAGTCACAGCGCGCGCAGGGCAGGCCTTCGAGGGGCCGCATGCGCTGCCTGCGGGCTCCGATCTTGCAGTTCCAGCTGGCGCGTGTGCTCGGTGAGGCACCTGCCGAGTGGGCGCGGGACCTCTGAGTCGAAGGCTGGTGTTGCTGGCAGGCAGCAGTTCTATCCAGATCTCTGCCGTGCGTTCAGAGAGGACGAGCTGGCATCCAGACTTTCCCCATCGATTGCTCTCACGAACGCAGACTATCAGGAGGGAAAAGAACACACAGACACAATGAATCGTCGACGCCCCAGAACATATGGGAAAATATGGGAAGCGGGGGGGAAGACAAACACCCAGAAACTAGGGGAGCATAGGGGGAATCCTGTTACCTGTGTGTATTTATTTGTGTGTCACAGGGCCCGAGGAGGAGGAGGAGGAGTGTAGGAGGAGTTGAGGAGTTCAGGAGGAGTTTAGGGAGAGTCTAGGAGGAGTTTAGGAGGAGCTTAGGAGGAGGAGGAAGAGGAGGAGGAGGAGGAGGCGGAGGAGGAGGAGGAGGAGGAGGGGGAGGAGGAGGAGGAGGAGGAGGAGGAGGAGGAGGACTAGTTACGTCCAGGGCGCAGTCCTCTGCCGCGGGGCCCCGCTGGCGGAGCCATCCCTGGTGGCCCCGCTGGGCCTTTGCTGTGGCCCCTGGAGGGCATTGGTGGGGCCTCTCCAGGGGCCTTCTCTTCCTCCTCCCCGTCCTCCTCCTCCTCCTCGTCCTCCTCCTCCTCGTCGTCCTCCTCCTCGTCCTCCTTCTCCTCCTCATCTTCCTCCTCCTCGTCCGCTCGACGACGTGGCGTGTTCCGAACCTGCGGGGTGGGCCCTTTCCTTTCTTCTGTGCGCGTCAGTCATGGCCTTTGTTGTGGCCCCTGGAGGGCATTAGTGGGGCCTCTCGGGCTGCATCGCGGCGGCCTCGGGCAACTTTTTGGACGCTCCAGGGGCCTCGGGCGCACACATCACCAGTATGAATCCGGCATGGAAACTGCACGGAGAATCATGTTAGAGAAAATCCAGCAGGCCTTCCGCGCCTTGCAGTCTAGGGCTGTTTGCACGACTCGATGTCGCAATAGTTTTCTATGTGGCTTTTAGAATAAAGCCAGCCAGGCGTTTTGTCCGAAAAGAGAAGACCCGGGGTCTTCTCGTCCTCCTCATCTTCCTCGTCCTCCTCCTCGTCCGCTCGACGATGTGGCGTGTTCCGAACCTGCGAGGTGGGCCCTGTCCTCTCCTCTGTGCGCGTCAGTAATATGGCTCCAGCCTCAGCTGCTGGTGCACCGCGGAGCGCCTTCGGGCCAGCTCACCCGCGTCTGTTTCCCGCTCGCACGGGTGCCTCCCTCCCCTCTCCACCTCTGGCTCCGATTGCCGTCTGATGACCGCGCGCCAAAAAAAATGCTGGTTAGTGAACGACCACAGCTCAGATGCACGTCACAGAACCTCTTTTGAGATGCCTGTTCGGGTGCGACCGACCAGATAGCATTGCCCATTGCTTAAACATCCCCCCGCCTCACCCAACTCGTCTGTCGTCTGAGGGCGGTCGTCTGTCCTTGTTCCATCCTCCGTCTTCGGCTCGGGCTTCTTGTGCAGCACCCAGCCTTTGGCCACACTTGGGACAGCGCCATCCTTGCCACTACCATTAGCTTCTAAATCTACCACATAGTAAACTAAATTGCCTCGAACAAAGACCGTCGCCCTCTCACGGGGTCCCTAGCATCTTGAGGTGGTGAGAGTCGCCCAAGCCAAATTCCCTAACGGTTGTTCTCTGAGAGCAAGCCGCTCGGCCGCACAAAGCTGAGCAAGCCAAGCCGACGCTGACGACAGCCAGCCGGCAACAACACTTCACCCTTGATCTGTGATCAACACGCAGGCGGCACGTTACAGTCAACGCGCATAGTAAGGACAAACGACGTTTTCAAGGGTACCCTTGGGTCCTTGCCTGCCTCAGCCTCTGCAGCCCGTCCCTAGCAAGTTTCGCAGGCCAGTGTCTCAGGTTCCCTGGGGGTTTGGCCGCCTGCCGCCCAGAATACTTCAACTTCGGCCTCCAAGGGTCTTGCGTCCTTACTACGCGTCCTTACTATACGTTTTCACTTTACAGCCGAGCGAAGCGGGTCATGCACACAACCACGCAGAATCAACCAAAACAACGGAAGATCTTTTTTCAAGAACCAGGAGCCACGCGCACGGCCACCACCCGCCTGGGCTGTCGCATTGGCGTGTGCACACGGACGGTCCCCCGAGAGCCACGGCAAGGTTGAAGACAAACAAAGGTGCACAGTCAGAGGCATCGAGAAAGGATCGAGCAGGCAGTGGCGGCGTGGAGAACAAGCGAACTCGCTTGGGCGTTCGAGCTCTGACAACTTCTGCAGGCACGAACGAAGGCACACGCGCACGCGCACGCACGCACACTTCTGATCTGCGGGCCGAGAGCGAACGTCTACTGGTAAGAACTAAGCGGGCTGCGCAAAGTACTAATTGAGGAGACAGGGCGCAGCGCACGCACGCACGCGCACATTCACCCACCGACGCGCACGTCTTTGTTGGGCGCCACGGCCACGCGCGCAGCGGCGCGGCGGAGTCAGTCAGGCGGGAGCGCCGGGAGGGTGTTGCGGCGGCCGCGGCCAGGCATCCAGTCGGCCCGGAGGCTCCGCCTAACGCGGCGCAGCCCTGCAGGGGGCCGGAACAGTCGGCGTTGAGCATCTTGAGACTCCACAGCCATCATGATAGTGACGCTCCTCCTCCTCCTCCTCCTATTCCTCTCGGCCCACTTGGCGCCCTCATTGGGGCCATATTGGGGGGCCGTCTTGGGGGCCTCTTACGGTTGATTGGGGCCCTCATAGGGTTGTCGTGGGGCCGTTTTGGGAAGGTTCTTGCGGGATCTTCTTGCGGCCCTCGTGGGCCGTCTTGAAGCCATATTGGAGGAGTGTTGGGCCGTTTTGGATTGCCGGAAGCTCGAAGAGGCGAGAACGCCGAAACTTGTCAAAATCGGAAGAACAGTATATGCTTTTGGCCTCTGGAAGCCTTCTTGGGGGCCCTTCTTGGGAGCCCTTCGGGGGAGTCTTGGGGGTCTCCTTGGTCTTCTTGAGGCCATCCTGGGCCGCCTGGGGGCCATCGTCGGCCGTCTTGGGCTTCTGAGACCCTCTTCGGAGCCTGCTGCGGCTGGCTTCGAAGCCTCTTGGGCCACTGAGCCACACACACACACAACAGGAGGCGTTTCTTGGCGCCGCAGGGCCCCAGGACACTATAGTCCACCGGCCTCCGCCACGGCCCTACCGTCACGTCGGGCATGCCCCTCCGCAGGAGGAGGAGGCCCAAAATAGCCCCTTTCTTCCAGAAACTCCGCCTGTAGGAGGACACGCCCGACCTGACCCGAAGGCCCCCCGGGGGGGGGCCAGACCCGGGTCAAGCGCCCCCCCCCCGTATCCCCCGACTCCGACGCTGGTGCCTCGTGCCCGACTCGGCCCCCGAGGGCCTCGGCTCCCAGGAAGCGCCCTGGAGGAGGAGGAGGAGGAGGAGGAGGAGGAGGAGGAGGAGGAGGAGGGCCTCGGCCCTCGGCAAGCTCGCGCGCGCGGGCACGCCCTCTGCGCGCTGCGGCCTCGGGCCCCTGCAGCCTGGGCGGCGCCTCTCCGGGCAGCGGCCGCGCGGGCCTCCGGAGAGACCGCCGCCGCCGCCGGGAGGGCGCCGCCACTCGTCGGGGGGAGCCCCGCGCGCCGGCCGGGCCGCACCGCAGGCCCGGGAACGGCCGTCGGCCCTGATGTTACTGCTGCCCCTCCTCGTATTCCTCCTCCCTCCTCCTCCTCCTCCTCGAGCTGTTCCTCCTCCTCTTCCTCCTCCTCCTCCTCCTCCTGCTCCTCCTCCTCCTCCTTCTCCTCCTCCTCCTCCTCCCCCCCCCTCTCCTCCCCGTTTCCCCCTCCACCTGCCGTGGAGGACACGTTCTCATGTCGTATCGCGCGCGCTGCAGGTCGTAATTGCATGTCGCACGCTTGCTTCTGATAATGATGTTTCCGCGGTTGCGCTCATCAGCCCGAGGCCCAGTGCAGAGCCAGCCGGCCAGCTTACTTCTGGCCCCGT